CTATGTGAGAGTAATGCCAATACCAGCATTTTACCTTCAGTTATTGTAAATAAATAATTTGTTTACAAGAATTATTTATAACGTTGTTAAAAATATTGAGAATTAAATTTAAGTTTCCTATAGAACCCTATAGAAAAAAGGATATTAAAAGAAAAAACTGATTTTTTTTTATTCAATTGTTGTTAAAATGTAATTTGTTTACAACAATTGTTTATAACTTTATTGAAAAATATTAATAGGTAAATTAAAGTTTCAAGATTTATTAATCCTATAGAAACAAATAGTAAAGAAAAAAACGAAATTTTAACATATTTGCTTGTTAATTTGAAATTTGTTTATAACAATTGTTTATTGTTGTTAAATGCTTATGGTCTATAATTTTCACCTCGAAGATTCATTAAGAGAACAGTAAAAAAGTCAGTGGAAGAAGACACTATTTTTCAGCTTCAATTATCGTCAATTCTTAATTTGTTTATAAAATTGTTTATAACATTGTTAAATAATAATGTTAAACAATTTTTATCCTCAACATTCATTGCAACTATCAAAATAAGAGCGATATGTAAAGAAACAAATTTTTTTCAATATTTGTGACTTTAAAAAAAACAATTTGTTTATAAAAATTGTTTAAAACATTGTTAAATTAGTCATAGTGGTAAAATTTTTGTCATAGATGTTATTTGTATACTAATTTTAGTCATTTGTAACAAGAAAATGTGTCGAGAATTTATTTTTCTGACTATTCAAAATTTTAGATATTTTGTCGGCCATTTTTGAGCCGCCATTTTGAATTTCGAAAAAATTAAAATTTCCAGCAATGCCTAAATGAAAGGTCCATTTTGGACGCGATATTTTTCAGTCCAAATTTTTCCTGAAGCGATATTATATTAAAAATTAAGAGAAACATTGAAACTGAATTCATAATGATTAATGAGTAGGATTTATGGTATAAGATGAAAAGGATTGTAATTATTATTTCACAAATAAATAAAAAATTTAAACTTTAAGAGTGCATAACATTTAATTAATTGACGATTTCCTGTTCATTTTAGTGACAACGATTGTACGAAATTCTTGAAATGACAATGTTGAATTTCCGTATTCGGACAAAGAAGATTAATATTTGAATCTTCGCTAGATGTGACAGGAGAAGCTATTATTACGAATCTCAACTCTGCTAAGCACCAAGAAGGCCAGCATTATGTCCTCAATGTCATCTTTTACACTGTTCTCAATGGAGAAATTACTTTCATTAAATTTGCTTCCAACAGTCATATTTTACTCACATCTCTCAAACCATTAAAATTTTGTGTAGAAAAAAATTTTTCTTGATAAAAATATTTAGATTTATAACTAAATTTGTTGAAAAATAATTAAATTTTATCTATTGGATTAAAAGAATTGTAAAGTACTGTTAAAAATCAGGAAAATCGAAAAAGATGAGAATTGAAAAAATATTACTAATAAAAATGAAAGAATGAAACAGTGCTGAAGAATATAATGATCAAAGTTCAAAACGTTTTTGAATTCGAACAAATAACGTTTTTGCTTTATAGATACCAGATAGGATGTGTTAGTTTGTGAATGATCCTTTGTTAAAGTGAAAAACTCTTAACTCTTTGGCAGCTTGCCAAAAAAGAATGAAAAGTTGACGAAAGTATATCAGATTTCTGAACAATAGACACAAAGTATTGGTGAAATGAATTGAGGGCACCTTTTTTTAACAACGAAAAGAAAAAAAAAAGGATAAAGTAAAAACAGCGACGAAAAATCTAAATAAAAAGTATTTTAATATTTTACATTTATCGTTCTATTGCTGATTGAATTTCTACTGACAATTCTCTTTTTTTGCTTCATTCTTTTTAGTCTAGATGGGAAGTGGAAAATTTGCATAAACCTTGGAGAGGCCTACTTCAAAGGTAGATAGCTAAAGCCCGTATTTCTAGATTATATGGGGGATGATCGCTCTTGTCCTGCTCGACTTGCTAAAAACCACACCCTTTGACTGGAGTATTCCTCTTTCTATGAAACTATATTGTCGGGTTCTGAATTTTTCAGGTGAATGTCTCTTATTTCTACAGTTCTGGTGTTACTTTTTTCTCGGTTTGAATCCTTTTGACTTCTTGAGAATACTTGAGATAGTCTTCTTGGTTTTTACAGATCAGTGATAATCAGTGTCATCTTTTGATCCAGTCATTGTAGAAATTAGATCTGCAGTCATTGGAGGTTTTCGGTGATCATCCAGATGAAACTCTGTTGGTGGAAGTGATCTTCAATTTAAATTAGGAGGTCTTTTCTTCTGGCAGTTTTGGTAGCAAAACTTGAAGTAGGTTTCTCTCAAGATTTAATTTTTTGAATTAAAACTTAACTTGCCGATAGATATTCGCATATGTACGTAAATGAGCAGAACTTTTTAGAAGCTTTTCTCGCTTTATCTATTGTACCCCAGGGATCGAATCTGGGACCAAATTGATTTTGATTTTCACTTAGAATTGACTTCAAATTTCAAAATGAATTTAGCGTCAAAATCAATTCGAAATCTAAATTAATTTGACGCCAAAGTCAATTTGAATTCCAAATCAAAATGCATTTGACGTCAAAGTCAATTCAAATTCGAATTCAAATTACATAATTAAACCACTGACCTTACCCACACAGCATCGAAACTCTTCTAAAAGTTGAAATTACCTTGACTGCACTATTCGGAATCTTTAGTCACGAAGCTCATTAAAGTTAAAGTAATTCTTTAAATTTAGACTTTTTTTCAATATTTGATGCGAAAGTTGACTGAACATTGGATGAAAATTTAAAATTTCTTAAACTCTCTTGCAATGTTCAGTCAACTCTAACGTCAAACATTGAATAACATCAGACATTTAAAGAACAACTTCAAGTTTCATGAGCTTCGCAACTAAACATTCCGAAGGTTGCAGTCAAGTTGATTTCAACTTTCAGGAAATTGTCGGTGCTGTGTGGATACATTTGGAATCATAGAGCGCAAAAATCCCTAAGTATCAAGTTTCATGTGAATCCAATAAATTTTCAAAAATCGTCGACCATCTTGAATTTTAAAAATCTGTTATTGGATTCATATTCAGAGACCTCAAAAATACCCCGAATATCAAGTTAAATAGGTAAAAATATAGTTCCCCATTTCGAATATTGGAAAATTGTTATGAGATTCGAGTTCAGTTTCTCTATGGGCATAGTATGACGCATCATGAAAAGAAGAAAAAAAACATTTTTTTTTATATTTTATGGCTAACTATGAGGAAAAGAAAATTATTTTTTGTATATTATCAAAATAATATATACAAAATATAATTCGAATAATATATTCGAAATCTTCCTTAACTAATATATACAAAATTTTTCTCTAAAAAATTCGATTTTTTGACATTTAGACAAACGTAGAGCCTAAAATTCTAAATTGATTTGCAAGATACTTTGAAATATTATTAAATGGGTTAAAATCTCGACATATATTTCAGAAAATTTCAATACATTAAGTATTTTTTGAAATATTTAAATTTTAAACAAAAATTTGATTTTTTTCATATTTAGACAAACGTAGATAGTCTAAACTACTTAACGGATTTTTAAAATATTCTGAAATATTATTAATTGGGTCAAAATCTTGATATTTATTTCAGGAAATTTCAAAAGAATTAAGTATTTTTTTCAATATTTGAGTTTTTCTTTGAAAAATGGGATTTTTTGAAATTTAAACAGATTTAATCAGGTTAAAATCTTGATATACATTTCAGGAAATTTCAATATATTAAGTATTTTTTTTTATATTTGAGTTTTTCTCTATAAAAATTAGATGCAAAAAGTTCCGCCAAGTAAAAGTTTTTGCAAATGTCCAAACAATTAGTGAAATAAAAGTTTACCAAGTAAAATTTATAAATAAAGTTTTAATATTGATTTGTAATAAATATAAAATTTAATTTAATGATTAACATATAAGCAGCTAATGAAATTCAATAATTCGTTTTAATAAAAAATTTCAATTTCAAGCAATTTTAAGATCTTAGAGTCAATAATGTTTCTAATTTGTAATTATAATGAGAAAATATTTTGTTTTTTTTACCATGTTTTGTAATACATTGCCCATAGTTCAAAAATTTTAAAAATTCATTCTTTCACATACTTTGTCAAACTTTGTGCCATATTTCACCATCCTTTATCCATGCTTCTCATAAATTGTCATCTTTTACCCCTACTTCCATTTCCACACGGGATATACAACAAAAATAAAAATAATTTTTGTTTGTACCTATTTTTTCCAATTGAGAATATTTTATTTTTAATCTTACATTTTTTGCAATCGGTAGACGCCATTTTTGTCCGCCATTTTGAATTTTACAATGAGCGTGTGCTCATTGTGATTCAAAATTTTTTTCTAAGATTAGCTTATGATCCGTCTATGACTCCTTAAAACTTTTGTTTCTCCTTTCAGGAGTCATCTACGATTTTAATTATAGAATGTTTCCTTTTTTGAAGATCAAGCCCATTGTACTATTTTTTGAATCTAGGTCGAAGTTTTCTCGTCATCCAAAGAAGAATCTTTCATGTCTATAAATAAATTACGAAACAGTATTAAATATTTTAATAGGTTTCAAGAATTATAAGGTTCTACAAGTGTTTCTAATTCTCCTGCTTATAAAAAATAGAAAGAGACAAGTTGATAAATAAAGAAGATATTTCAATGAAAAAACACTAAAATAAAATAAAAAAAAAACATTAGTTTTTCAATTTCTGACATGTATGTATATATAACTGTTAGAAATAATTTACTCAAATCTATATAAAATATAAAAATTTCCATTTTCATTGTGAGAAATATTTTAAAAATTTCAAGTGTCTGAAGATTTTAAGTTTTCGAGGACGTTTATCAAAAAGTCAACGTGAGTCGTAGTCTATTCTTCACAATTTATAACGACTAGTGGTCAGGTCTGCTCTCCACTAACCCAGATAAAGTGACTAGGATTCGCGGTATGGTATCTTCTCGCAAGTTTAAGGGGGATGTTCGGAAGGAGGAAAAAGGTGGAATGCGTGCGCAACTTCCTAACTCTCTCTCTCACCCTCTCAACATTCCCTCTGTCCGTTCCTCTGTCGAGAGGATTTACCACCCTACAAAACTACCCCAGCACGATTCCACGCTCGCGTCCGGGTAAATCCTGGTCGCCAGTGCCCGCGCGTCTTCCGCGATTGTCGGACCGCGTTTCCAAAAAAAGTGAGAATATTCTCACACTTTTCCAGAAATCCCCAAAAATTCAATCACTTTTCCACGTGAAAAAATTACGACTAAAAAAAAAATTTTTGAAAAACTTAAAATAAGTGCAAATTTATCCTTAACAAAAAAAGTACCTATATTCGAATGTCGGGAGAAAACCGGACGCCGTACAAATTTTAATTGTTAAATAAACAATTAAATATGATTCGAAACAAATTGAATCAACATTTGTTGTTCTGGATTTACCACTGTTTGTATTTTTAAGGTAAACTCCTTTTCTCAACCACATAATAAATGTCGAAGTGTAAAAAAAAAAGTTTGTAAATTTTCCCCTGAGTGTGAAGTTACAAAATAAAATGTTATTAATCAGAATTTTATTAATAAATTAATAAAAATACCAAAAATACAATTAAGAAAGTGTTATCATTTTACGAAACAATTAAAAAGTGAATAATGAAAATGTTATCAGAAACTAAAATATATATTTAAATTTTTATACAGTTTAAATAATACAAGGAGAAAAAAGAAAATAAACCGAAATGAAAATAGTTAGGAAAATAGTTGAGTGACATTCTTTCAAGACAACGAAAATTCATTGTAGAATGAATTCCAGAAAGTTTCTTATTGAGACACAAAAGGAGGAAATTAATCAAAGTGAATCGATTGTGAATTAGAAAATAAAGAAAGAGTGATGTTATGCGATCCAGACAAAATACCAAGGATCAAAATTAAGTCCTGATAAAGTAAGTCTTCATTTTTTTTGGTTTCAATAAATTACATTTTGAAATACAATATAAAGAGCTACAATAAAGATAAATTCAACCAATTTGATATAAAAAATGTAGGATCAAATAAAAAATCAGTCAAAATTTTTCCTATTAATTTGATACTTTCAAGAAAACTTTGAAACTAAAAGAATACTAAAAAATAAATATCTCGAAACTAATATCGATATCTTACGAAATATTTATTATTAAATAAGCGATTGTCCTCGATTGATAATAATACTAAGGCCACAAAGTCATTGATGCAACTATACGCTTTGAGCTTTAACTATTATAATTGGATTATTGTTATTCGGGAGAATTATATTTCGAAATTCGAATTAGCATTAGTTTTATTCGATTAAAGTGAATCATGTTCCTCTTTTATCAGTTTAATTGCATTGAAATTCATCTTTGCTTAAATAATCGCGTTCAATGGATAATCAAAACTTTGAACAATAGTAAAGCAATAAATATAGACAATAAAATATGATGGCGTATGAAATCAATAAATCTGTATTGAAAATCAAAGTTTGCACGCATCTCTCTGCATATATTACGTAACTGACAGCACTGTAATTTAAAATTCAATCTCAATAAATTGTTCATGTTTTTTATCATTCAAACTTGTCAAGATATGATTTTCAGGGATAATTTAATTTTTCCATATTTGCATCAGGATTTTTTTTTTTTTTTATCAAAAAATAAAATTATCTGCAATTATGAAAATTTACAAAATAAAAAATTTACTTTAACGGACTGATGATAAAATATAATATAAAATATTTTATCCTTTATGAATTAAATTTTCCACTACGAAATAATAATTTAATTTCGAGAATTTTTAAAATATGAAAAGAGCAATTATAATGTAATTTTAATTTCTGTGTTTTTTCTAAATATAAGGAAGGAATGATAATTTGAAAAATTTGATTTAACAAACGTTTGAGTTGAAAGTTGGGGTTTTAAATTATGTGAGCCAAAACCACTTTGCATCTCACATGCTTCATGTTCGCATTACAGTCGTAACCATTGAAATAGATGCCATTAACTCAGAGTCTCCTGCAAATATTCATGTCATTATAAAATCCATTTTATTATGCATTTGGCTAGCTTAGTACATTAAGCTTATGTACATACGTATCATTTTTTAATCCGTAATGAATTTTTCTCTAAGAAATCGTGGTAATGTAAAAAGGGAGAAAAAAATATCTCTAATTTAAAAAGCCATGATTTTATTATTAACTCATATGTTATTAAAAACTTTGAATAAAAATAAACAATTAATATTTATTTCTAATTTATTTTTAGTTCTCTTTGCATTGTTTATTTCAATTTTTATTTTTAATTTAAACATTTTTTTTTGTTCCATACTTTGTTTTTAATTATTTGATATAATATTTATTTAATCTTAAAAAGCTTTTATGATTACTGACTAAATTGTTCAAAATTAAGTTAACTTTAAAATTTAGCTAAAATTAATTTAGTACAAGGGCACTTGACAACAAACAAAACATTGCAGTTGGGAAAAAATTTTTAATAACTCTAAATTTCCTTTCCATTATCTAAAAATGTAATTACAAGGACAATTTTTAGGGAGCATTTTTTATCTCAACATTTTACAAAAGAGTCATATTGCTTTTATGTTTTCTATTTTATTTTGCGCCTTATATGTATATGTATTGTGAAACATATCTCGAACGAAAAAACACATGTTGGTGTAATGTTGCTGGAGAACAATTTCTACTTCCTCCCGTTTCATTCTCACCTTACAGATTAAATCTTACCACCTGGATACTATGACTTTTGATATGTATGAAAGTGTCTCTCTGGCATTATTTCAATTTCCACTTTTGTCCCCTGACTTTTTCTCAGAATTCCTGCTCAATCAGAAGTTGATTCAAGAATCCATAAATTGGTTTCTTTCTGAGAAAAAAATTCTACTATTTATAATACTCAAAGATTGCTAATATTTTTTGGCAATATCGAGGCAATATTGCAGAAATAATGAGGCTACTTTGGAAATAAATATTGTAGCAAAACATTGAGGTAACATTGCAAGGAAATATTGCAGCAACATTTAGGTAACCTTGCCATGCAATATTGCGGCAACATTTAGATAAACTCACAAGCCAATATTACAATAATATTTAAGTAACTATAACAGGCATTATTTACCTTATATTGCAGAAAAATTCAAGGAACCTCGCAAGGAAATATTGTAGCAACATTTAGGTAATTTTAAAAGGCATTAAATTGCGCAATATTGCATTAAAATTTAAGGAACCTTGCCAGAACATGATTAAAGAAACATTCCTCTGCAATATTCATACAGTATTACCTGTAAATATTGTGACAATATTGCATCAATATTTTTTAGGGTCTCTGAATCCAAATCCGTTGTCGAAAATTCAAAATGCAAAATGGCGGCTTTAAAATGGCGACCAAAAAAATTTTAAAGTTAACGAATTCGTAAACTTTACCATTTTTTTATCGCCATTTTGAATTTTAAATTTTTAAACACGGACTTGAATTCAGCCACCCCAAAATCATGCAATATGACAATGTCATGTTTTTTTTTAATTTTTTGAACATTTATGACACAAAAACTTCATTTTTACTGAACTGCAAAGAGGATAAAGAATATTTTGACATAGAAAACAAAAGAAGATTAATTCCGGACCTGAAAATGGATCCGATATTGCTTTAACAAAATTCAAAATGGCGGATCTAATATGGCGGACGATTTTTTCAAAAAGTGATGGGTTTCACCTGAAACTTATGGTAAATCGAGGATTTAATAAAATTCTTAGCCAAATTGCAATTATTGTCTGAAAATCTTCCTCAAATCAATGATTTTCAATATCTACTATACTTTAAACAAAATTTTTCCCAAAGAATTCAATTATTTAAAATAAATTTTGATAAAATTGTACGAAAATATTTAATTTCTTTGCGAATTTTCAAATTCTTTTGCTTACAATTTAATTTTACGAAATTTCGATTATTCTGACATTTTTCAATTAAATATATTAGAAATTAAAAACTTTAAATAATTTTTAAAAATTCCATTAAACTTTTAAAAAAAAAATTAATTCTACAAGAATTCAATTATTTAACTACAAAAATAAATATTTTATTAATCAATTGAATGTTTCTTAAAATTGAATTTTCATAAAGACTTTTATCAACAAGTTTTTAAATAATTGAATTTCGGAGAAAAATTTTATTATTTATAAAGGTAATTAAAATTTTGACTTGTAAATTTTTTAACGTAATTGGATTTCTGCGAAGAATTTTATTAAAATTATTTTTTAAAAAAATGAATTGTTAAGCAAAGAATTTCATTAAAATTTTTAAAAATAATTTAATTCTCTAAAGAAATTTAAAAAAAAATGTATTGAAAATAATATTTAAATTCAAATATAAATAAATTGCAGCAAAAGTTTTTAAAATAATTGAATATCTTTGATAAATTTTAATGAAATTTTTAATAATAATTACATTTTTCGAGGAATTCCATTAAAATTGTATTAAAAATAATTGAAATTCAGCATTGAAGTTTATTATTTAAGAAAATAATTGAATCCCTGTAAAAAATGTTATTATTTTTTAAAATAATTCAAGAATATTTTATGAAAATAATTTGTAAATAATTGAAGTCCTGTGAAATTTTTAAATTATTTATGAAAATAATGAAATGTTTACGTAGAATTTTATTAAAATTATTTTTAACTAATTGAATTCTTTTAGGAATTTTTATTAAAGTAGTAGATAATAAAAAATCATTGAATTGTGGAAAGTTTTTGAAAATAATTAAAATTTTGTAAAGAATTTTATTACTTTTGAAAATAATTGAATTTCTGCAATAATTTGTAATTACTTTAAAATTTAATTTGTTTTAGTGTTTTTAATTAAAATTCTTCTATAAATCCATTATTTTTCATAATAATTTTAATAATAATTTTAAATATTAAAAAATTTAACTAAATTTCAAAAAAATTTTAGTTTAAAACATTTTTTTTAAATCTAAATTTTTTAATATTTCTAATTAAATTAATTTAAAATTGAAATTTTACAAAATTTCAAATCAAAATCTTTTGCAGTTCATCTACTTATGAAAATTGTAAACGCAATTCTTTTAAAATTAAATTAATTTTAAAATATATAAGTAAAATTATATTTCAAGAATAAGCACAACTATTTTCCAGGATTTCAATCAAAATTCCCTGATTTTTCCTTGTTTTTTCAAGCTTTTAAAAACTTCCTGACATTTCCAGGTTTCCAGGTTGCGTGGCAACCCTGCTTTAAGGACATTAAAAATTAGTCTAAGAAAAACGAGAGAAACAAAAGACACTGCGCTTAATTAGACATTTTGTTAAATCGAAGGAATTATTTTTCCGAGTGTAAATTAATTTATTGGAGAGTAGTTTACATTAGGCGCACGAAGTTAGTTCAGTGATTGGAAATTGGGTGTAAAAAAAGGTGTGATGCATGACCCGGGATTCACCAATAGATCTTCTGCAAGTAATGAAGCAGCACGCTCAAAACAACAAGACGAAGAAAGCGAGGAACAAACAAAGTCACGGGAGGCAAAGTTGCTGTCGCTAAATTGGGTTAGCTCAAATCCCTTTACGGCAGCTCTAATAGCTAAAGCGTGAGGTGCATGCGGAGATGTGAATGCTTACTAGTCAGACTTCAGTTTGAGAACCTCAACATGTTACACTTCTTCTAAAGAAATGTTCAGAGAAGGCAAAATTGCTTTTACATTACATATCATTTTAGAAGGACTGTTGCTTGCTAACTAAAAGTTAAATTCTTTGAAAAGTAGATAACCTAACTTCTTGAAATTGAAATTTTTCTCTTGAAAGAAAATTTTTTTTTCTTTAAAATTTTTCTATTTAAATGTACTTTTATTTATTTATTTATTGTGAATGGAAAATGTAAAAGCTTATAAATTTTATTTCAAAGTTCATTCAACTGGAAATAAAATATTGAAACGAATTTTAAATTCATTAATTAAAAATACAATATTGAAATGATTTTCAGAAATAACATTGCTATTTTCAAAAAATTTCTTTCTAATTGAATAATGTTTGGAGTAGTATTTAAAATTGTGAACTGAATAATGATAAAAGCTATAAAATAGTCCATTTTCAATTAAATTCAATACCAAAAGGTGAAACTTTGATCTATTTGACACGGAATGTTTCGTTAGTCACCATGAAAAGGATCGAAAATTAGTAGTTAAATGAAATAAATTATTTCATTATTAGAATTCTTTTCTTTTGAAATACCTCATTTCTTTCAACACTGTCTGTTGTTAATAATGTTAATAATGTTAAATTTCCGGGTAAATTTTTCCAGTGAAAATGTGAAATATTTAATAGACTATTTGAAAACTTTTCTAAAAATACATATAATGAGAAGATGATATAATATTATTTTCTAGAATTAATTATCATTACTTATTAATAATAATTATTTCAGTGAATGTTGAAATTTTAGAAAGATTAATGATGTGTGAAAATGTTTAGTCTTTTTTCAATTTGAATAATAATAATAATTATTATTATTATTTTGCTCGTCACGAATTAATTGAAATAGAAACTGTCATCCACAAAGCCATTGTTTACATTTACAGTTGGATTTTATTAACGCCTTGCTTCTGCGTCAGCTATAAAAATATATCTGCATATTGTTTGAAGTGAAAATTACGTGGAATTTAAATGAACAACAAAAAAGGCATTTTAAATAGAAGAAAATCGATAATGGGTGTGTCGAATTGTTAAATGTTTGTTAATCGAGAATAATCATACATAACAGTAGATGAGTTATTGATAGGCAGTTTAATCAATTATGCAAATATTTCTGTTTTTAATTACTTTGTCAAATAGTGCAACATAAGGTGAGAAAATTTGGTCAATATTACATGGTAATATTACGAATATTAATATTAGGCTGACATCATCAATATTTCTGCAATATTCTCAATATTTATATGCAACATTGACGTAATTTTCATACTTTAAGCAGCTTAACTTTGCCAGTGGTAGGAAAAAGCACTTTATTATCAGTTTGTTAATCTCTCTATGCGAAATAAATAAAAATTTAAAATAATGCCTCATTAGTATAAAGTGAACGAGAAAACTTTTTTTTCTGGCAATTCATTATAATTTTGATTGTCAGAAAAAAAATATTTAGAATTAATTTTTAAATTGTTTCTTCTATATGAGTAAAAGCTTTTAAAAATTTGAAATTGTATGCTTTAGAAAGACGTGCAAAAAAAGGAATTCTGTTTTTTTGTACCCAGGCTTTGGTAAGCCACCCTGAAAACCGCTTATTTCGGTATTATGGAATGGCGTCGTTTTCCTGACCCTGCTAACTTTCTAAATAATTAAATTTATAAATATACAGTTTTTTTTCACTCTTTGCAACATCTCAAAGTCTTCTTTGCTTCTTCAAGCATTTTGTTGATACAGTGTTAAAAATTACTGAAATGAACTAAAAATTTTTATTATTTGTCAACATCATTAACATGCAAGAGAGTAGCGAGTGATTGCTGTTTCCTTTAATTACTTAAATTGAACGTCTCTTTAAATCAACGTTGCATGTAATTAAATTCTTTAAAGTTGTTATAAAAAATACAATTTAAAGAGGAAGCATTATAATTAATTAACGAGAACTCATAGTTTTTATAAAAATAACACGAATCTGTAGAAAAATAAATGTCAAGATTTATCAAATTGACTAATCTGAAACTTGCCTTCCTTTTATTTTTATTTAATAAGAATCACCATTGTCTTGGTTTTGGGACCTAACACCTGATCTGGTTGGCATGAAAAACCTGCTTCTTCAACTTCCTAATATGCGGTTTTATTTCTGGCTTCCACAAAATTACGTTTTGATAAAGGACTGATTAAGTTTTACTCCCAATCTGCAAATCTGTGATCAGTACTATCGCACTTTAAAAACGTTGATCATCTGTTCGTTCGTTTCGGTGTCTGTGGTGAAAGCCTCTTTACTGGTGTCTTCTGCGAATGTAACAAAAAGATTTTTTTTTGTAGATCTTTTTTTTTATTTATTTTATTTTTATTAAAAAACTTTTCCTTGCACAAAAAGCAGGTTGGGTTCTTTTTACGCCCATTTCCCTTTTTTTTAATTGGGCAACACATATAACCAATTTTTACGTGTTCCAATTTCTCCAGCCTGTTCGCCTCTTCTGGGTTGATGTCTACAACCTCGAGCTTCATCCCTCGTCGGTTGGGTCCTAAATCCGTCACTCTTATGCTTCCTGGCTTTCCCATCACTTCAGACAACACTTGTCGTACCTCTGCTTCTTGGGTAAGGCAATCCAAATCGCGGATCTCGAATGTGACTCTTCGATTTTATCGACTGCACCTTAGCCATGCTTCCAACCGCCTTGGTGACCTCAGCGGTGAAAGCGTCCTTGTTGAAGTCTCCTCTGATCTTATTCAGAAGGTCTCCCTTCTTTGTGGCTTTTGCTGATACTATTCTTGTATGGCAGACGCCCTGGTTGACCTCTTTGTGAAGTTTACCCAGAACCTCAGCATATGTTATTCCTTGGCCGACTCGGATCAGCACAGCGGATCCTTTTGTTCCCATCATTTCCTCGCGAGAAATCTCTGGCTCTGGTATTTCCGTTTCCATTGGAGGCGCTTTTTCCTTCTTCCTCATACCGGCTTGGGTTCAAGTCTCCTCTGGACTGTCGCCCTTTCTCCTCCATTTCTGAGCATCTCTTATGACGCTTTTGAGATTGCGCCTATGGTGGGGCTCCATCTCCTCCTTACGGTCTTTTGCCTCTTTCAGCAGGACTTCGATGACTTTGACTCCATCTTTTACCGTCCTATTGACGTTCTTCTGAATGTCGCAATATTTCATCATCTTTGCTACCTCCAACTCCATTTTGTAGAGGCAAGTTGCCTCCTCCTTTCTGAGTCGCAAGCATATCTCGCGAGTCTCTTCTATCGCCTCGTCGTCTACTTCTGAGTGGATAGCTCTATGTACGGTCTTTCCGCTACTGCAACTTGACACACTCAGAAGGCAAGACGCCTTCCCATTCTTTCTGCTTCCACGATGTTCTGTGGATCGGACATTTCCACAATCACCCGTGGCACTGAAAGAAATTGTGCGCCCCCACAATTTGTTTTCAATACAAATCTATCTAATAGTATTAAGCAGCAAGGGGCAACAGTGGAAACATTAAAACAAGATTATGATTTTTATCTAAGTAATACATTTTGATTTGCAGTGTCCGAGAACTTCGCAAGTAGTGATCCCCTTGTCCTGCTTCTTAAGTTGCCACAAATAGTAGACATCATGTTATCGACGTTGATTTCAATGCCAACTGCCGCATACATGGCCATTCTATTTGTTAGACTAAGTCACCTATTCCAAAGCAATATTTTGTCATTTTGTCTTTCGCCGATATTCGACTGTCACAAATACTTTGAGGACTACGTACCTTCGAACGTTTTTAAAACGAACATTGTTTTTTACCGAGAGGGTAGCTGATGTTTTATGATGACCTCTGCTATAAAAGACTCCTCCTTGACATCATTTTTTATTATATAATGATCAGGAGATATTCTTCCATAGTAGATCTCATTATCACCATTTTCCTGTAGCTAATATCTGAAATAACTTCCTACAGAATTTGCTCTCCTTTTCATTGAGTCCAGAAAAATTTAACGATAAAAATAAAGATCTTTGATTAACGTTAAATTATAACTTATTTTGGAGATTAATTTTCTATTGTTTATGATGACATTACTGATGATTTAAATTACAAATTAGAAAAATCGTTGTTTGCAAGAATCTGTTTTATTTATCATTTCCCAAAAGTAGAACATACCCATGTAAAAAAGTCTACAGAGTGGCAGCAGAAAGTATGATGGTTTAAAGGATTAAAAAATTATGGAATAATAGTTTTACGTATTATTTGAATCACCAGACTTTCTGCAGACAAAAGCCTGTTGAAGATCCGCGGAAAGTTCGCAGACATTCTGAGGACTTTTTTTTTTTTACTTTGGAATACTCCATATAGAATCAAGTCTAGAATATTAAATGTAGAAATCAAATGGCAAATTTAATCTGAAACATGTTTTATTCAATTTCTAAAACTTCTTTTTATATTTTTAATTCCTACGAGTTCAGAAATCAAAATGAAACTATACACAGTGGGCTTCAAAAAAGGGAATCCATTTTCTTTAGAGCAAATACATTAGCACTATGAACTTTACTGTCTAAATAAATAATAAATATAATAAACAATACAGAATACCAATTTAGTAAATGAATAAATTATTATCATATAATTCTGCTGAATAACATGTGTTTTCAAATAAAAATTTTATTAAATTTTATGAAATGACGAATAAAATTTTTGTTCTGTTTGTTTTCAGGTAAATATTCGGATGATTCGGAATAATCGATTGTGGAGAGGACATGATGGACGAGGGAGAAGGAGTGTCCGTTGTGGCGTTAAATTATCGTTGATTGAAACAGTAGCGGGAATTTTTACAATTCAGTTAGTGAAGTTAGTGATTTTATTTAAAGACCGTTTAATTAAGTCCAGAACAATGTCATAGTCCGAAGTGTGCGACAGTGCGCGCAAGTGACGTTAGCGTTAGAACACAATGGCCCTACTGTTCGTTATAATTGTTATTTTGGTCACTACAGTAATGTCTTTGCCACCAGTCATAAGAATCGGTAAGTTTTCTCAGTTAATAAAATAAAAATTTAATTAATAAAGACAACTATTAAAATTTTATTCTCGTAATTTAATTTGGAAAAGAAAGTTTATAATTTATAAAAGAAAAAATTTTTCGATTCTAGGCTAAGCAATTAATTTACCAAAACAAATTGTTTTACGTTTGATAAAAAAAAAGCAATTTTATTTTTTAATCAAAATTGTTTTCCTTTATCAAAAAAATTTTTTTAATAAAAATGAACAAAAAAAATAAAAAGAGATTTTATAACATATGTAGAGTAATAAAATACGTCAATTATTGATAAATATTTATGTATTTATTTTTCTTCGGTATTTAAAAATTGTTTGCGTACGCAAAATTTTTTGTTGATTTGAAATAATATTCGGTTTGTTAAAAACCGAATGGCGGTAAAAACTATTGACAGGATGTATTTTTTTAACTTTATTGGCTTTTGATTTTAAAATATTCGAAGATAAATATTTGTAGAGGGTCAATTTAGGAAACATGACATTGATAATCAAGATTATCATTTGTCTTAGTTTTTCAATTTCTTCAATCTGTTTGGTGATTTTTGGTTGAAGACGACTATTATTCTCATACTAGACTTGTCCTTAATGGATGATTTTAGGGGTTGTAAAGGACTGACTGATTATCTGCAAATTTTGTGAATCTTGCATAGAAATCGTCAATCCACTATCGCAATATTTGATGAAATTATGACAAGAAAATGTTGTCAATATGATACGGAATTCATGATGAGCATATTTGTCAATCCACTACTGGATTATTCAGGATAATTGTCAATCCACTACTTGATTATTCAGAATAATTGTCAATCCACTACTGGATTATTCAGAATAATTGTCAATCCACTACTTGATTATTCAGAATAATTGTCAATCCACTACTGGATTATTCAGAATAATTGTCAATCCACAACTGCATTATTCAGTAAATATATTTGTGCTTGGCCATTTTGAACGCAAACAATGAACGAAGGTAAACAAGAAACTAGTAATACAATTTGAATACGAAGTAGAATGATTTTAATAAATTTTAAATTACAATGTTAATAATTCATTTAAAGCAACGACAATAGAAGGGTTTGCTTATCGACGGTTATTTTTTTCTTCTTGCTTTTTGTTGGTTTTTTCTTATTGGTTCTTTTCAAATATTGCATTCTGTTAGAATGAAAAAGTTCAGGTTGGATTTTAAATGTTACCGTTTTGATCCTCTGACTGCAAATTACGTACACTTCCAATCGCTTTGATGACTTTTGCAGTAAAAGCCTCCTTGTTAGGTGTCAACTACGATTTTAATCAGAAGGTTCCTCTTCCTTGTAGGTTCTCGATCCTACAACTCTCGTGTGGATGACGTGTCAATTAGCTTTCATGTGGAGTTTGTTTACTTCGTCAGCAAACGACTTTCCTTTGATGACTCCTATAACCAATGTTGATCCTCTCATTACCTTCTGCTCCATTTTCTTCTAAGGGTACTTTCTTTTCCTTATTTTTTTTTTGTCACTTCGATTTTACTTCTGAATTGTTGGATCTTTTTCTGCTCTTCCGCGCCTTCATGAGAACAATTTTGATGCTGATATATAAGCTTTCTTCTACTCTCTCGTCGTTCCTTTCTTGATGATTTCCTAAAGGTTTTTCAGTCTCCTTTTCATCATTCGGTTAAAGTTCTTTTGGATGCTACAAGACAACCACTTCACCTTCTTGTTCACTAAAAGGACACTGGTGTCGTAATTTTTCGTTTTCGAACAGTTCATCTAATCCAATCAGCAATAAATTATAAATTTCATCTCCAAAACAATAAAATCTAACTTATTGTTTTGGAAAATTAAAAGTTGTTCACCCAATGCCTAGAAAGATTAACTTCTCAAAAGAAGCATAGAAGGCAGAGGTGAGTAAAATAAGATAGCAGGAGAGAGAGAGAGAGAGAGAGAGAGTAACTCGGTCATTTAATTGGTAGAATTTCAATGGTGAGCCGCGAGGAGAAACTTCCCGGCAATTTCCGAGGCCGATAACAACAGCGACGGCTGCCAGTTAACTTGAAAAGAGAGAAGGAGAATTCTAACAGTTCGAAGTGAATTGTATGCGCAAAAGTGAGAGAAATAAATGAAAGAAGGAGTCTCAAGAGTATCAACAGAGAAGAAGTTGAACGAGGGGAACGGGAAGTGAAGGGTAAAGGCGTTGTTAGTGGGTGAATCCTCCCTTGCGTCTTGAAATAATTCTAGAGACGAAAATTATACGGAACTGAAGAGATAATGGGAAGCACCTAAAGTAAAAGTAGTAAGAAAATTGCAAGAGGAGCCTGTGCGCGTGAATGTTTATTTTTAAATGCTTTCGTATTTCACTCAACTACAAAGAATGCAGATCTTTCTGATTGGTTCAATTATAACAGAACACTGCCTCTTCATAAATTACTCTCTCGTTTACAGAAACGATGGTGCAATTTTTCTAACAGAGAAATGAAAGGGGAGAGAAAAAAAGGAAGAATTTCACCTCTGAAATGAATTATTATTATCTCTTTTGTTGCAATGAAAAAAAAAAAAATTCTCTAATCCATTCCAGTGAATAATTATCATTTGAAAAATGGTAATGGGTGTGAATTTTCCATTTCTAGTTCTCAATCAATTTCCAAAAACTTAGCTGTTAAATCTTCATTTAATGGAATTAATTTTTGGAGGTGATAAACCCCTTGATAACATTTGTGTACAGTGTCACTATCTCCTTTACACTCGATATAGTTGGCCGGTTGCCATAACATTTACATTTCCGCAAGAGAGTTTCATTGTTCCACACTTTCATAGGTTAGTTGGATTACACACAATGTTCCTATTACGTGCGTCTGCAATGTTTATAAATGTGCAAATTGCCTTTGATTAGCTAAATACCCGTCTAGTCACTTACTTCCTGTTCCTATAAAACCATCAAAGGATAAAGTGATATAATTTCACGTATTTACAACCTATACGAAGGACGAAAAAAATTTTTCAAAACTTATAATTCTGTATATATAAGACAAAACTTTCTTAGCTCCTTGTTTAATATTTTCTCGAGTTATAAATTCACCACAATTACTGCTAATGCAGTGAAGGGAAAATAACTTTAACTTGTGCGCGATAAGTGGCAAACACATTAGAGTAAATTCACCCTAATGCTCGCTAGACAGAAAGCCCGATGCACAGAAACTTTTTATCAAGAAATTTTGACATTTCCGTTCAAGAAGCGACTATTCCCAATAGAATAAATTCTAAATATTTTAATAAAAAAAAATTACATCTCTCTCTCTCTCTCTAGTAAATAACATTTTTTTAATATTAAAGAAGCCTGTAAAAATGTTTACAGACATAACAAATTGTGGGAAAAATTATATTATCTAAAAATGTAAAATTTTACCTATAAAAAGAGAATTTTTTTTTAGAAAACAAATTTTTTTTCTAGTTTTTTTTTGGAGAAATTCAGTTCACACGATTCAAGGTAGAATAGTAACCATTATAAGAACTTATGATACTTGGGAGTTTCCTCTCCTTTTGCGTCTGACAATTTCCCTTAGTTACGGAAAAGAAATGCGAGAGCGCTCCCCTGTGGGCAAAATTCAAAATTGATTTTTCAATGCAGACTGACTCAACCATTGCAACCTTTTTTCATATGGATAACAAATGACAGTTGGGTTCTACACACAAGGGAATAACTTTGCATTTTGATCACAGAAGAGCATAGCCCCTTTCCTTTTTAAACTCTGATATGGATTGTCAAACATTAATATTTCTTTTCACGTGAGATGGTAAAAAATAGTAAAAACAGTTTAAAAAATTACCACATAATACTAAACAGTAATTGAAGAGGCCAAGATTTTTTTGCCTTAATTTGTATTATTAGATTCTGAGAAAAATAATTACTTTTGCAAGTTTTTTTTTTGAAAATTTGGCCAACTTTTCTGGCACTTGTCCATACAATCAGTTTTTTTTTTCATGGAGGAAAATTGCCTCTTATTAAAAAGTTGGTAAATTTATTAGTCATGGGAGTTTCGACTGAGAATTTGCTAATATGAAAAAAGTTGGAAATAAAGAAAACGTTCAATTTTGAAGATAATACAAGAAGTCGTATATTGTAAAAATTATGTGCTAAAGAAGCTGGTGAATTTTCGTGGATAGCGTGAGTTTTCAGAAACTAGTAGAAGAAGAAGAAAAGAAGAAAAAAAAATTTATATATTGGCACTCGAAACTCTTCATGTTCGATATCTTTTGCTGGCATTCTTTGCAATTGCAACCGCAATTGCGTCTTGGAATCATCGTCGTCGTGGAAGACGCTATACTTGCTCGTATTTGAGGCACGATCAAGCGACGCTTCTAGAATTTATACCCAGACGGTTATACTGGTTACGTAACGCCGCATCGTTACCCGCGACGTACACCTATAACGTTTCAAGTTTTATTCTAATATTCATGGTGTTGAACTATCAACGAAATCCAGCCAGAATTTAGGTGAGATTTTCCATCCAACTTTCACAAATGGTGCAGTAAATTCTAAACGATTATGAATAAAACTATATTTTCTATTTGTTAACCTACTTGTTAATTACTGTTTTTCAAAAATTTGAATTACTGCATAACTATTTTTTCCAGCTTCTTATATTTTAATTCTACAATTACGCATCAATCCCTTGAAGTCGTCCCTGATGAAGATGGTCTCGGAATTCCAATAATAATTTCCTTATGAATTTTTTGAGAATTCCAATTCACTTCCAATGAGATTCAAAATTCAGAAATTCATACCAAGAACAAAATTGAATCTGATCTAATTTTAAAGTAAAATATTTGTGCACTTCCGATCCTGAAATATCCAGTTCTATTGGTGACTTATTTGTAACAGTTTACCTTTCGACGTAATCTGTTCAAAGTAACTTTTTCAAAAGTAGTTGCATAAAATTGTTTGAGAAATAATTATATAATTAGCCTTTTACGTTGCGTTTAAAGTTACTTGATCA